AAAAAAAAAAATGGTGGTCCACTGACCACATTTGTTAGAAATCACCGGGATGTTCTTACTAGACATACAAGTCCCTAGGCTTTTACCCTAGACTACTAGAGTTCAAAGAAGGAGTTATTTTGCCACTAGGGAATTTTTGGCAATGCCTGGAAAAACAAATAGGGAGGGGGTGCTTCTGGTATCTACTAGACCTGGAACGCTACTAAATGTCCTGCAGTACACCGGACAGTCTCCCACATACACACAAAATTTCCACCCACAACATTTATAGTGCCCAAAATTAAGAAATGCTGCACCAGAACTGCTAAGTCAGAGTATCTGGGAAAGGAGCCTAGAAATCTACATTTTGATAAGCATCCCAGCAACTTGTATCCAAACTAAAGTTTGCAAAACCACTGTGGATACAAAAGCTCTGGGTATAGGAACATGCTCCATTTCTCCCCAGGTATTGGTCCACCTCTCTAATTTACTAGTCATGGTAGTTATGATAAATGGATTTAATTAAATATTACTACTTAGCAATTCAGACAATTTATAAGTCATAGTCTTAACATTAAATTGGAATCTTGTTTATATCTTTTAACTTCTGTGCTGTCTGACATTATTTTTTATTAACTGTGTACATTTTCTGGATGTCTTTTGCCTAATGAAAACTTGCCAATCTATGGCTTGGCAAAATGATCCTTTGCTGCCTCCTATTCACTGGTTTCTCCTGTACTCTGAGTGACTGGCTTGTTTGTTTCCTGTATTTTTCTCATCCCTTGCAATTAATGCTGCACTTTTCTCAATTTCTTTCTCTTCTTTCTTTTTGGCATTTGAAACTAGTGTTAGGGTACATTAATGGAGTCTTAAGAGCAGAAATTAGAAAATGATGCTGTCATAAAAGGCGTAACAAGCCCAGGGAAAAATCTTAAAATGTCCATACTTCCACTAAAGTAGGTCACTGGAAATTGTTATGTATTGCAGTGCATACCAAATTGAGAACTTGATGCATCTCAAAAAGGTAGTTCTCTTAATGAGTATTCCCTGTTAGAAAAAAAATCTCCTGTTTTCCCCATAAAACTTCCATAGGCTTTTCATTCAACTCAAGCAAACTGTTCAGTGAACTTTTTCTAAAAATCCAAAAATTGTAAAATTCTTCAGAATACTTAGTCCCAAATTATCTTCACTATTATCCAAGAAGACCATTTTATTGATCACCTTTTACTAGCTTTTCTAAAGTCATTACTACTAAAGGTTTTGAGAATAATTCAAACATCGTCTTCTAACACAGGGGATTTCCTAATAGTTTTTCAACAGTTTCTTAGGGATTAAAACCCCTCTGAATACATGACCATATTTCACGTATGTGTGATATGTCAAAATACACTCTGCTGTCATCTACATCTAAAAAGAACCACAACCAAAAAAAAAATTCTCATGTCATTCAAATATTCTTCCTGGGACATTGTATAACTTTCCAGTCTGCTGCCTCTTTGATGTGTGGCCATGAGCCTTATATTCAGCCCTTGAACTCTAATGTGCAACCTAGGCTTTCTGAAAGCCTTTATCCAAAACATTTCTTTTTTAATCAATCTGATTGCTGAGCATAAGTAAGGCATGGAGTAACAGCCCTCATATTAGCTGGGTTTTAATGTCACTAAAATCAAGCATATGAACATGGTACAGTCCATACAGTTCAATCCAGAAAGAGATCTTCTATTGTACTCACATCCAAAACTTGATACCTAATGAATGAAAGTTATGTGATACAGTTCCATTGGACTAGCCAGCCAACTGTTGCTAGTGTAAACTGATCACTCGACATGTGAAATCAAGAGACTACTCCAAAGAAAAAAGCAGAAAGGACAGCGCA